GCTGAGCCTGTGAGGACGGAGAAGTGTTCTCAGGCCAAGTAGGGAATGATCAGAGTACACTAAGTTCGCTATTTACATTTTCCTCCAGGCTGTACAGCACAGCTGACTCGGGATGAATGACAATAGGGTGCCAAAAATTGAAATAGCACAGAGGGAAAGTGGCTGATCTGTGTCCCTTTTTGATAGCTTCATGGTTGCCTAGGAGAAAGCTGGGTTGGAAACCCAGGTTTAAAGTTTGCCCTTTAGCAGACACCCCACGAGCCCTTACCTGCCCCGCCCAGTGCACGGAAGGTGTATGTGTGCCTTGAGATACAATAAAAACTTGTCATAGGATGCTGTGCGCCAGTGTGGGGTTTGGCTGGGCTGTTGGACAACGTGGGCACTCAGATCCTAGGGATTCAGCGACTGAGAACTTGTTTGGTTGTAAAGGATCACGATTTAGAACTTGTTTGTTGGAAAGGGGCCGAGGCCAATCCTGTCACTTCATAGGTTCGGGCTTGGCAGAAGGAAAACTTTCCCACCTTGGAGAAACTTGTCTGAACCTCCCTATGGCAGAGGGACTTAGGTACCTCAAGGTACTCCGTTTTTATTAAATTTATCCACCCATCCAAGTATCTTAAGAGTCCATCCCACATTTACTGAACCTGTGTGGTCCAGCGGTTCTTATGTCTGGGCATAGAATCAGACATGGACCTGTCCTCCAAGTTTCCAGGAATGAAAGAGGACACACACACGATGTAAAAAGAGGTACTATGCTAGGGGGGCCGTGAACTCAGAGGGAAATCAAGGAAGGCTTGGTGGAGGAAGCGACATTTGGCCTGGGCTGAAAGGGAGGGGAGAGAGGGAGGCCCTAAAGGGGGGTGTCCCATGTGTCGAGGACAGAGTTTATTAAGGATATACAGTTTGGGGAAAGACTGGGTACTTCTTTTTTTTTTTAAAGATTTTATGTATTTGAGAGAGAGCGAGAGCGATAGAATGCGCAGGGGAAGGGAAGGAGCAGAGGCAGAGGGAGAAACAGACTCCCCTCTGATCAGGGAGCTCAGTGTGGGACTCGATCCCGAGATTCCGGGATCATGACCTGAGCCGAAGGCAGACGCTTAACTGCGCCACCCAGGTGCCCAGACCGGGCACTTCTTCAAACACGTGTCCTGCGGCTTTTGCTACCGGAAGACCAATGCCGTGCTTGCCGGCACGTGAACCCCCGAGATGAGGCGGACTTTGCCCATCCTGACTGCTGGGCAGTGTCAGGAGTTGACCACCGGGTGCATCTTGACTTTGGAGCTCCGCACGGGTCGCAGCCCTCCAGGAACGGAGCTGCGCACGCTCTCTCCGGCCAGGTGTGCTACGTTTCCTCCGTGGGACCTTCTCTCGGGGCACTGACGGTGAATGATTTTCAAACCTGTCCGCTTAAGATCAATGAGCACTCAGAGTAGTGAGCTCAGGGGCTCTTCGAATAAATGAGCGTAGGATTTATTCAATGCGTGATGCCACTTCCCTAAAATAATTCCGATTATCCTGTGTCCGTGGATTCAACTGACCAGATATTTATCTGGCGTGTACTGTGATGGGTGTCGTAGGGGAGGCAAAAATACATAGAGCGGCCTGGCCGAAATGGAGTTTCCAAAATGCTCCAGGCACTCTCAACGCGTTGTCTCACTTGAAACCTTTCAACCACCCTGTGAGGCTGGGGATTCTGTCCTCATTTTACATACAAGGGAATACATAACTGGCCCAAGATCACAGATTGACAGCAGGGTTTGAATCTATGGCAGTTCTGCCTCCACCGCATAGGAGCCCCAAACAAGGACCCCAATGATGGGGCGTAAGTGGACCAGGAGAGGTATAAACACACTGTCTGGCAGTTCAGAGGAGGGTGAAATCTCCAGCTGGAAAAGCATCATGGAAAAGGTGGCATTTGAGATGCGCCTCCAGTGTGCGGATTTTCACATGTGAACAGGGAGGCTTCCAGGCTGAAGGCAGCTCTGGACAGAAGTGTGAATGCTGGAAGGCAGTGGGCCGGGGCAGGTTCTGGGACCGGTGATGGTGGTGGTGGGGTTTAGAGTAATACATATGGCTGGATCACCGAGGCTGGAAAAGCAGATGACACCAAGCTTGAACGCCAGGGGTTGGTGGCCAATGGGAGCTACTGATAGTTCAGGGGCAGAGGAGGGAGCGACGTGATGGAAATCAAACTGGGGAAAGATGAAGCTGGCCTCAGTGGTCAGGATGGTGACCGGCTGGAAGAGGGAAGTCCTGATGGTGTAGTCTTGCTCTGGGAAAGCACTAGTATAGAATAATGTGTCCGTCTGCCGTTTGGCCACATCTGATGTGTCTCAATCTCCGGCATCATTCAGCTAGGGACCCCAGACAGAGGTCTGTGAGATCCTAATCGGAAACTCCAATGTGCTTTGATTTCTAATCACTTTCTCAGCAAGTTACTTGATCAAACATTTCGTTAATAGCTTTTGTTGGGGGTTAAGGGGGAACAAAGCAAATCAATCCAAATCATGCCATCAAAATTGGAGAGGCAATCTATGAGCATTCGGGTAACGGAGTCCCATCCCCAGCCTTGAGGTAGCCCCCAGGCCTCATGCATCCCTTCGTTCATTCAGTGAATTAATAAACAGAAAGCACTTAGAACAGTGCCTGCTAAATGCCAAGACTTGATAAAGTGTCACCTATCATTATGGCTGTCGTTCATTCACAGAACACGAACGCTTACTAGGTGCTAGGCATTGTTCTGTACTTTCACAAACGCTAACTGATTGACACCTTGCCACAACCAGCCTGTCCGGGAAGCGTCCTTGTTCCGTTTGGCCCCATGTCAGGGCTTTCGGGATTTTAATGGGCACGCAAATCACCCAGGCGGTGGGAAGGGTGGTGGTGGGGTCTTGTTAACCTACAGGTTCTGCCTCTGTGGGCCTGGGGTCAGCTCCGAGATCTGCATCTCTAACAAGCTCCCCGAGGATGCAGCTGCTCGTGTCCATGGGCTACACAGAGAGCAGCAGGTCTGGAACAGAGGCCACTGTTGCTGACTGGCTGAGCAGGGAGGTCTTGACCTGGAAACTGTGACCTCAAGTTCAGGGATTTTTCAGCCCTTTCTGCACGTCTGCTGCTGGCAATCAAGTGTGTGTATCCCAGACACATACACGAGATTCAGACCCGTTGATTCATTCACCGAACATTTATTGATCACTGGGAAAACAGGCTGCACCAGGTTTAGTTCGTAAGTTCCAGTTTCCACTCTGCCGGATGCCACACACCTGTCGGGTGAGCAGGTGCCCGCCCCGTTGCTGCCTTAAAAGTCCATCGCTCCCAGAGCATAACCTCTCTCCAGCTCCGCAAGCCCGTTCCCTCTTCCTGTGCGGCTCACTTATGCGACGGCATCTGTCACTCTGAGATGTTTGTAAGGGCTCCGTGGCTATTTCTCAGCATATTTATTATTGGCAATGCCAAGGGACTGATTTCACAAGCCCGGAAGCTACTTTGCCCCCCTGATGAAGGGAAACCCAGGTACAAGCTGAATTTAGGTTTCCTCCTCGCAGCCTAAACCAAGTGGACACCAGAGGGCGCCTCAGGACCACGCTTCCCAACAAATGCGCTTGCTCGCTTCCCCAATCCCAGTGTTGCCCTAAGACTCTTTACCAAGCATCAGCATCATTCACGGCGGCAGGCGGGGCTCACCCGCTCCCTACTTTGTTTTTGCTAACATAGAACTTCTTTACCTTTCAAAGTTTATGATGATCATCCCTTTGATTTCTTCTCGGCTCTTTCCTGCCCTCAAAGTCCTGAAAGCTGCACACACGCCATGAAAAGGACAAAGGGCGTGAACATTCATTGCGGGTCTGCTGTGAGCTTTGTTCCCTCCATGTGGTACCTTTCCCCATGCTTGTCTCATTGAATGGGCTCATTCCCATCGGGGCAGATTTTATCCGCATACTGTAGATAGAGAGTGGAGATAATTCTGTCCATAGTTAGAAGTAGAATCTGCTAAAGTACATTGCTTCCAGGATAGTGTGTATCCCACTTGGGAGGAATCCGTCAGTGCTTTGAATTCTTCGTGGCTCCAGAGTTAGATGCTGGAGGCTGACGTCTGTCCTCTTCCCCTCCCCGTATCAGGAGCCTGACCCGGCTTGGGCACGCTCGCAGTGGACCTTCTCTGGGCACTCTGGGCTGTCCAAGATGACAGCCATACACGGCCATGCGGAGTGTCACTGGTTGATACCAACTCGTGAAGAAACACAGGCACACTGGTTGGGAGTGAGGACACCCTTGCAGGTAGAACTTCCCCTCTCTGACCCCTGGCCGCCTCTCTGTCAAAGGAGGGATTTGGATACAATGATTCTAGAGCTTCTTTTCACACTTAGCCAGTCTGCTAATGGGGAGGGATTTGAGGCCTGATGACATGGTGGGGACAATATTTTTAGATTGGTATTTTTCATACTTCTCACATGACACCATATGGCCAGATATATTCCTTCTGGAGATCGCCATTATTGTCTTGCATAAGATTGTAGAATGTTAGAAAAAGAGAATCACAAAAACTTACTATAAGGGGAGATGGAAAGGACAGAATGTTAGAACCACCCGCAGGGGTCACCATGTCACATTGGTTCCTGCTGGATCCCCAGTGCTTAGCATGTTGCTGGCACGTGGTAGAGACTCCAAAAAAAGTGAGTGAATAAAACTGCAGACTAATGAAATCCTATAATGATAGAATCTGAGGATCAGAGAATATTAGAATTATGGGACAACATTATTCACTTATTCAGAAGAGGGAACGGAGATCTCAGGGCTGGGTTATAGAATCTTCTGGGTGCTAAAGGGTCCCTTGGCTCTTCCTAGGGGGACCAGTGATGGTCCAGGCCACAGTCTGGGAGCTCTCAGGGAGGGATGGGTGTGCGGGAAAGGAATTTTCTGCGGGGAGGGCCTTTGGTGTCAGTGCTGCCCAGGCCTAGGGCCGCAGGAGGCGGGGTGCAGGGCGGAGGTGGGGCCCGGCCCTAGCAGGGCGGCGTGGGACCGCTGCACAGCTTGTTGGGGTAACGGACGAAGTTGCGGTTGTAGGTGCCCAAGTTGCGGCGGAAGCAGAGGGCGGCTGTCCGGTCACACTCACAGGTCTGACGTTGGCAGGCGGTTCTGCCGGCTGATGGGAAAAGATGAGTCAGGGACCCAGTGGCTTGGGCTTCCCGCTCTCTGGGGGTTCCACGTTCTCTGTCCCATTCTGCTGGAAGCCCACAGCTGCGGGGACGTTTCAGGTGTGGGTGAGAGATGGGGGGCAGGACGCTGGGAAGCTGGGGGAAATCTGTCCTAGCTGTTCTTCCTTCCGCTCCCAAGCTCACGCAAATCCCCCCCCATCCCCCGCCCCCAGGCCCTCTGGCTGGCCCGGAGACCATGTGGTTCTCTAACGCACCTGCTCCAGCACCGGGATGGATTTCTAGACAACCCCTTCCCCATGGGAGGCATGGCTGGTGGTGGAGTGTGGCCAGCAAGCTGACAGGGGAGCAAGAATGACACCAACTCAGTCCCAGGTGGCCTGTGGGCCCTGGAGCAGCCTGGGCCCAGACTGGAGCCTGCTGGGACCGAAGCTGGGGGCCTGCTCGGGCCCTGGGCCTGTCTCCATCCGAGGGGACAGAGCCCGTTTTCGTGGCATTTATCTTGGGGCCCCTCTCTATGTGTGTGCTCACACCCGGCCTGGGGTCAGAGCGGGCTTCGGCTCTGCAGGCACCGGGGCCTCAGAACCTCCCCTTCTCCCCACCCCCTCTGTCTGCCCTCAGTGGCCCTGGTTACTCTCTGTCCCCAAGAACACATCTCACAGAAATGTCCAGGGATCCTCATTTTCCCCTCAAAGGTCAGCCTCCACGTCCCACCAGGGTTCTGCCCACATCTGCTATTCCAGCAAAACTCAGGGCTTTATCAGCCACATCGGTTCTTTTAGGTGGTTCTTGCTAGGAGCTGGATTAAGCCAGGGAGTGAGTGTGATTGGCTCCCTTTTATAGAGGAAGAAACAGGCTTTTGAGAGGTTACATCTCTTGCCCAAAGTCACCCAGTGGGGAGAAGGTGAAGCCCTGAGGCTCTGACCCTATTCTCCTGACACCTCTCCTCAGTCATCCCCTCAGTGCCATCCTGGACAGGTGCCTTCCCCTCAGGGCCATCCCTTGCATAAACCTCTACAGATGGGGAGCTCACTACCTGTCAAAGCTGCCTTGCTGAGTAGATAGATAGCTGCAGGGGCAAGAGACCAGCTAAGTTTGCCTTTGGTGGCTCCGCCCCCTCCCCCAGGACAGATCTTAGCGATCTGAGCTGTCTTCCTTGACCCTCCTGGGTTCTTCTGCCGCCCCCTCACTCGGCACCGCCTTCCCTCCAGGCTGCTCCTGGCTTTGGAGCGGGGAGGCCTGGTGCTCTGATTTGGGCTCCCTCCACAGGGCCCGTCTGCATGGAGCCCTCCACACTGTCACTTGGTCCAGGCCGCTTCCCTGGGGCTGGGGACGAGGAAAACTAATTGGTCCAAGTGGGCACTGGATCTGGCAAAGCTGAGCAAATAGGTCCAGCCTGACAGCCTCCCTGGGGGGGAGTCAGCCTTTGGCAATGGGGTCTGCTGTCCCAAATCATAGCTCCAGCTCTGTCTGGGACTGTGCCCTCGAGGCTCTGTCCTGGGGACCTTGCTGCCCAGGCCCTGGAGAGGGCGTGTGGGTACAGCCCCTCTGGGCCTGGCTCAGCTCTGCCCCCTTTGCGCCTCCTTCCCAGAGGCTGGAGCTGGCTGGGCCTCTGGTGGGGCGAAGCACCTGCAGCCAGGGCAGGAGCCCACGGGTCCCGGGATCTTTAGACTGGGTGCCAGGCGAGCATCTGGGTGGATGGCCAATCCTCTACAGTGCCGTGATGATGGAAGACCCACCTCGCCCATCTCTCTAGCCCAGGGTCCGGCCCTGATGAGGAACCAGGGGCTGCCATCAGGAGGGGGTCCTGTCTGAAGCCGCCCCCCGCCCCCCGGACCCACCCCGGTGTCTGGGGCGCTCCAGCGCTGTTCACTTACCACAGAAGACGTTGTGCCTGCTGGCAGAGAAGAGATACCTCTCCAGTTTGGGTTCACAGCCCAGCTTCTCCAGGCGCCCATAGCAGCAGTCGTGGGCATGGCAGCACCTGGAAGGGTCACGGGCAACCTGGAGGGGCCTGTGAGCCAGGCTGGGCTGGACCAGGGGCTGCCGGGGGGCGGCGGAGGGGCAGGGCTCAAAGGGGCTCAGAGGAGCGGTCAGCCTCCACTTGCCAGGTGTCCCGCTCCTCCCCGCCCCGGGAGCTCCCGCCGCGGGCCGCCCGCTCACCAGTCGGTCTGGTCCACCGGCCAGTGGGCGCCACCAATGCCACAGTGACAGCCGTAGTCATTGTACTGCAGCGCCGGCTTCCCCGTCACCCTCTCGATCATCACCCCGAACTGGACCAGGTTCCCGCCGGCCAGGGCCACTGCGGGCAGCGGGGGCAGAGGCCAGCAGACCGGTCAGGGCCCTGCCCTGTGCGGCCGGCTTCCCCCGTGTCCCCTCCAAGTCTGCGTCCAGACACCTCCCCGACTGTCCGGCCCACCTCACCAAGCACCCTGCTCCCAATAACAGTGATGTAGTCAGTAATAATATCCCCACGCTGTCCATCGTGCTCAGCCCATCGGGACACCGCACCCAGTGCCCCTCCCACCCACCTCCCTCCTCTCCAGAATACCACCCACTCATCCTCCTGCTTGCCCCCCACTGTGCCCCAAATGTCTCCCAGGGGGTCCTGATCATTTCCCCAGGCGTCAGCTCCATGCCCCCAGAGCACTCTGTCCCCACCAAGTCCCATCAGATGCCACTGGATCAGCTTCATGACCACCAGGGCTTCCCCGAATGCCTCCAGATCCTGCTGATACAGCAACGGGGGGCAGGTTGGAGCCAAAAATGGAAGGTAATGGGGAGGGGGTGGAACGCAGGTGGCAGGAGCCTTGTGTGTGCTATCTTGGGTCCCCACCAGCCCCTTTCCTGTGCCCTCCCAGGCCACCCGGGCTGCATTCCCCCCACCCCCACCCCTCCCTTCTTCCCTGGCCAGTGCTTCCTCGGGCACAACTGGCCTCGAGATGACCCCCCGCACCCTCCCTAGAGCCTGGTTCCAGGACCTCCGGGGAGCTCTCGGTTCCCAGCCGGGGAAGAGGAAGAGGAAAGGTCACACAGGTCACTTACCCAGGAGGCAAAGGAAGGTCAGAAGAGGGGGAGGCTTCATCCTGAGGGGAGGGGAGGTGAGCAGGGGGCAGAGGAGCTGAGCTGTAGGAGAAGGAAGTGAGTGGGGTGCCTCTGATCTCAGGGCACCTCCCCAATTAGTTAAATACTGGGTCCTTGTCCACTCCCCATCATTAACCCCCAAATGCCCAGTGATGCAACTATACTTCCCAGTCTTTGGTCAAGTTCCCAGGGGAGGGGCCAGCCTGGGGCCCGTGGACTTGGTTTCCAGGCAGTTTTCGGGGAGCAATCCGTGGCTCTCTCTTTTCCCTGCTTCTCCCTTCACCTACCCTTTCCAAAAATCATGGTGGGCTCGCTCCTGCTGGCTGGGCTGTGAGCCAGGGGCTGTACCAAGGGCTTTTCATTCTTGCCATCTTTTCCTCATCCCCATTTTACTGATGCCACAAGTGAGGCCCAGAGAAGCTGCGAAACTTGCGTCCACGTGGCCAAGTCTGTCCTGTTTCCATGGCACTAGCTACTGCAGCATGCTCTCTGCTCCCTGTCCCCCACCCCAGCCTCCGTGTCACCCGGAGGGAGAGCGCCGAGAGCAGCCTGGCCGTGAGGCAGGACCCTGGGGACCCGGAGGGCCATTTGTCCAAGATCGAATAGGCCAGAGGCTGGGAGCTCAGCCAGCTGAGCTTAGGGATTTTTCTTCATTGTTCTTTCCTGGGCAGGCTCCTGCTTGTTTGACAAGCAGTGAAAATGCTCCCAGATGTGACTTCTGTCTCCCTAGATCCCCAGACAGTGGTGCAGTGTGCAGCCGTAGAAATAGGCTCTGTCTGAGTCAGCTGGAAAACCCACATTCCGGCATGGACTGGAAACTTCCATCCTTTTGATGTTATCTTAGGGGATGGGTTGGGGAGACGGTAGCCCCTGGCCCAGCTTGTCTCCCAGCGTGAGCTGCTGTCCCCATGGTAAGGTCAGAACGCAGAGGCCAGGCTTCAGGGCTTGGCTAGAGGTCGGGGGGATAGAAGGGAGGGCCCAGCTCTGCTGGGGCAGGAGATTGCAAAGTCCCACTGGTCATGGGCGCGCAGTGGCCTTGGGGGCTGGCTGCTGTCCATGCCCCTGAGTCCACGCCGGCAGAAGGGGAAGCAAGATGCCCCCCTGTCCTGGCCTGCCGCTTCCTCCTGCCCTGCACCCCCTGTTCCTGGTCTGGAGCGGGGATCACTTGACCAGCCACTTCCATCAGCACAGGACCTGGGAGCTGCCTGATCTGCAGCCTCGTGGTCCTGCTTCCACCACTTAGGCAGGTCCTTTGCTTTGCTTGTCTCCTTAGTTTTCCTGTCTGTATTATGGGGATGGAAGGCATGCCCACCTTGCCTCCTTCCTGGGAGGATGAGGAGCTCAAAAGCAACCAGGTGGTTGGCCCCCTCTGAGTATTTACTATGCACCAGGATGGTGCCAAAAGCCCTTTTCAGGCAAGATCTCAAGAAGCCTTCCAACAGCCCCATGACGCCACCGCTCTGATCATCCCCACTTTACCGAGGAGCAAACAGAGGCACACGCCTAAGTCCACAATGAGCCAGAATTTGGGCCCAGGCAGTTCAAAGGGCTTACCTTGTGCCTCCAGGAGGACTGGTGCCTAGCATGCGTGATATTTTTAGGGGCTCCCAAAATGTTTTAATTTCTTTAAAATCAGAATGACTATAATCCAGCCTGGATTATATAGGTCTTCTTACAAATGCGGTCATAACATTTGCTTTTCACTTTTTTTTTTTTCTATTTTAATGGAAGAAAGTGACCATGAAAGCAAAAGTCATGTCGCCACCAGAGACTGACACCAGGCAGAAGGCCTGCCGCTCAGGAGCTGGTCTGGCGTGGAGGCTGTGTCTCACACTGCAGGCGGGAAGGACTCCCCCCCCCCCGCCCCCCGCCCAACAAGATCTGTGACGCTATGGTCAAGGGTACAGGCCCTGGGCAGGTGCCACCCGAGGAGGGGAAGAGACGGTTGGGTGGCGGGATCTCTGCCAGTGATTTGGGATTAAAAGTTTTTAATGCAAGGTAAAGCCGGGTGAACACTGACCTAGCTCGCGCCCCTCCCATTTCCTGCTCCTGACTCCTCCTGGAACTCACCCCCCCTCGATGAGACTCTGGGGGCAGGCCAGGGAGGTGAGTGCACCTGGCCAGGATCACCCAGCAGCCGTGAGTCACGGTCTCCAGAGAGGGGGCTCCCCTTTGCTCACCACTGCCTTTTGATTTTAACGAGGGCCCCTCCTGGCAGCCCCTGGCTCCTGGCCTGGGTCATGAGAGCCCAAACAGTGAGTCACTGAGGAACTAAGTCTAAACAACTGAAAAGGAGCTTTGATTCCTGGGAGGTTTGGCCCCTAGCCCTTCCTGCAGCAGCGTAAGGGTGTTTCCCAGGAAGGGCCAGGTTTCTGAGGCAATTCCTCTGGTGAGCCATGTTGACTCCTGGCCTGGCCAGGATGGGGCCCCTGCCAGCTTCCTCCATGTGCACCTGGGGCAGAAAACCAAGGACTGTGGGGCCAGAGCCAGGCAGGGAAATCCAGGCGGGCTTGCAGGCAGAGGTGTCCCCAGCTGAGGTTTTTGGGGGTCGGGGGTTTGGGGAGGACTCAGACTCAGAGGAGAGTTTCAGGCATTTGGGACACGTGGTTGGTTTTATAGTTTTCAGCCAGTGACACAATGTGGTGGAAAGTGCCCGGGTCTCTGCATCGGCAAGATTAGGACTCGAGTGTTTGCTCTGCCACTTAGGGGCTGGGTGGCCTTGGCCAGGCCTGTCACCTCTTTGGGCTTAGCTTTGTCAACCATAATAGGGGGATAATTGGAACTACCTTCCAGAGTTGCGGACCGGACAGAAAGGAAATGAAGGGTGTAGAGTTCTCTCCCCACAGATGTCGGGCCCCTCCTTCCCTTCCTCCTTACCTGGCCACAGGGGAGACAGCTGCTGTCCCAGTAGCTCCGAGCACCCACCCCCGCTGGGGTGGAGCGTAGGTGGCTGGGCCCCCAGCGCTCGGACAGGATGATGGCCCCACTTGGCGGATTTTAACTCCTTCGATGGAGGCTGGTCGGGGGGAGGTGAGTAGAAGGAACAGAGCCGAGTCTCAAAGCAGCGTCTTCTTTCTCCTGGTGTAAACGCGTTCCTTGTAGCGTAGAAGCTGTTCCACTACCACCATCACCATCGTCTTACCATTTCCTAAGCCCCAGACATGCCACAGGCGCCAGGCTGAGAGCTTGATCTCGTCACCTCTGTGGCTTCCTTCGGAGCCCGATGACTCCTGCAGGCGTCTTCCAGCAAAGTGGGGTAACCTTATTCCTGAAGGGATTCGTTGCCTCTTCAGTCAGTCACCATACCGGGGACTTCCTATGTGCTGGGCAGAGACCGAAGAGCCACACACTGTGATTCCGGCCCTCAGGGAGCTCCCAGTCCAGTAGGGAGACAGACATTAGTAATTACATACTGAAGGGAAACTTCCAAATAGGCATAAGTGGTTTGACAGGATGTTCCATGGGCCTCTGAGAGCATTTATGGGGGTGTCTGATCCAGGCAGGGGGCCAGTGAGGGCTTCTGTGTGGAAGAGATAGTTTAGCAGGGGTCTCAAGAAGTTAATCGGGCGAAGAGGAAGGCAGAGAGAGTTTAGTTAGAGAGACAGCCTGTGCAAAGGCCCTGTGGTCCGAGGACATGCATCCAGGAGGGGCTGAGAGGCGGCTGATGTAGCTGTGCTACTTACTGGGGGGCGGGCCTCAAAGGGCATGATTCACTGGGAAGCTGACCCCGGGAACTTGACCTCCTGTTCACCCCATGGTATGTATGCCTTTTGCTTGAGCCTGATGGGCAGGTGGTCTAGAGCTTGCAGAATGCTGGAGAGGGCCCCGGAGTCTCCCACGAGGATGAGGCCCCTCTCGGAAGGAGATCTGTGGTATTTTCATCCCAATGAAGAGAAGCTGTGAGCACCCGAAGACCAGGGAGACTTGTCCCTCCGCTGGGAACAGGCTTTGTGTAACTCTCATCAGGCAGCTGGCTTCTCCCATTTGTGACCGAGGGGAAAGAACAAGAAGCCTCGGTGCGGGCCTGCTGTCATCTTTTATAAGGTCACCCAGGTCCTTGTAAGATGGCACAGCTGCGCCTTGTTGGTCTCTGTCCAGGGAACAGTGGACGCCAATGAAGGGTTTTACACCAGGAGGCGTCCTGCTCCTAGACGTGTTGAGACAAGATGGTGCTGGCTGCCGAGGGAAACAACAGGGGGGACACCAGCCAGGAAGAGAAGCCCAGTTCACAGGTACTGTCGGCTCCAGGATGGCATGGGCCACATGCATCGGGTCACGGAGGGGCTGTGCTGGGACAGACTAGCTGGGTGGTGGTGTCTGAGAGATGGTGTGAGTGTACCAGAACCACCACTGTGTTCACTGAGGCTTCACGGATGCGGGGGTCTTGGGGAGGGACAGGGAACAGCGGACGCTCATCCCATGAAAGTCCCACTGCCCCAGGCTCACCCAAGGAGGTAGAGGGAGGGGGGACTCAGGGGAGGAGGGACGCCCGACAGGTGCAGGCAGGTGCCTGGTGAGGTACAAGTGTCCGTGCGTTTTGCTGGAATGCCTGTGTCTCTGAGCGCCTGTGTGTGTGTGTGTGGGGGGGGACACATAGGCCCCTGCCCACTGTGGGGGACCCCTTTGCTCCTGAGTGTGGTAGTCCCGATTGAGAGGACGCTCTGGGCTCTGGGGTCAGGCTGCCTGGCTTTACCATTGTAGGTAACTGGATACTTTGGGCAAATGACCTCACTTCCCATGCTCTCAGTTTCCCCACCTGTACAGTGGGGATAATAATGGCACCCATTCCTGATATGGTTGGGAGTTAATCCAACAGTACCTGCAAAGTGCTTAGAAGAGGAACCTGCCCTACAGGAGTGGTCGTACTAGTTAACACAGATTAACTAGCGGGCCTCCCCTGCAAAGCCCCTTCCTGCTTGGAACCCCCCCTCCCATCCCTTCTTTCCTGGAAGCCTCCAGAACCTGTTCTGCATGGTGGTGGTGGGGCTCGCCCCTAAGACT